CGCAAAGCTACTAATAATTGATATGTTACTAGCTAAGTGTCAGTAACACATCCTTTTATGTTTTCAGTATACCGGCATAAACAGTGGCAACGTAGTATAGCTATTTCTCGCTGTTGGCCCTCGTCCGCTACGTGCAGCCAACTCTAGTGTAGCCGCTGAAATTGCCGCCACAGCCGATTTTTGAGCTCGCGCCTCGCCGGTCAGGGGCAGACGTCCTAACTATTGAGCCATCGAGTTCAATGTCTTGCTAGTTGTTGATCGGGAGTATATAGTATTGGTTTGTACACCGATCTATCTACCTATAGCGACATCGCCTTAAAACAATAACTTGGGTAGTCGTTGGTCGTCCTGTAGTGGGTCGTGCCTGGCCGACTAGCTCACGTCGAAGTGCACTTTCTCAAAGGCTCACCGAGGCGATTTTCGACGTCTCGATCAGCCAATCACAGTTCCCGCATCTTGCGGTTTGAGCAAGGCGACGAATGGCAAGCTTTCACGCGTTCCCGATGCAGGCTGCTTCCTTGCCCAAAATCTCCATGCCGACCTAGTCAATGGACGCGCTCTCTCTGTCTTCTGGCCTGATTCCTGCTTAGACCGGACTTGGGATCCGGTCAATCTCCTGAGCGTACGGGCTCTCCCGAGTCAATCTACTCTCATCTATTCTCCGTTCCTTTGTGTACACAATAAACTATCCCTTTTACTCTGGCCTTTATGGACTTCTCTTCAGCACTAAGTAACCATGGTCTGAAGATCGCAGTTGCACGGTTTATTCACTTAACCCCCTGCGATATTGGTGACATTCCGACGTGATATGAACGCGCATTCTTCGGACTACAACCACTGCTCAATTCCTTCTAATCTGGCTGACAGCTTCATGAAATTTCCAACTCGACTTCACCGTATTGTTTTCCCTGCGTCACTCATCGTTCCCATGGATAGGGAAACGCGGTTGCCGACAGCCTGTCGCGAATCGAAATTGATGTCTTCAACAAAACTCAGCCATCCATGTCCAGGTCGAACCTCAAACAAGTTATTTGGAGGATTCTTTCAACTGTGTTGCCATCCCATCACACCTCTTCTGTGAACAAGACACTCTTCCACCCATCAACAACGAAACCATCATTCGTGAGTTCTTTTCATCATACACTCAACATGCAATTGTATGCATCGATGAATTTTTATACTTTCGACACTTCAG